TTATTTTATTAAGTCAAGGACAGATAGATCATGAATACATTCATGCATATGTGGGGTACAATGTGCTGATTTTTTTTAATACAATCTACCATGGTTACCAATCATCATAGCTTTCACCTTGTTTACTTGATTATTGTGCCAAAACATCTGTTCTACACTTCACAGATTTGACTTGTACCCTTGTCATATGCTCCATAGGTGTGGTCCCGCCTTTTACCCTCCCTCTGTCAAACCTCCGCCCTGCCCTCCTTTCCCACTCCATTTCTCTCCTTCATCCTGGGCTATAGTTGTGTTCATAAGAAGGTGTGAGTAAATATAAGTTGGTTTCATAGAAGTATTGAGTACATTGGATACTTTTTCCTTCATTCTTGAGACATTTTACTCAGGAGAATATGTTCCAGATCCCTCCATGTAAACATAAAAGAGGTAAAGGCTTCACCTTTTTTTAAGGCTGCATAGTATTCCGTGGTATATATATACCACAATTTATTAATCTATTCTTGGGTTGATGGGCACTTGGGCATCTTCCATGACTTGGTAATTATGAATTGAGTTGCCATGAATAATCTGGTGCAAATATTCTTTTTTGAAAAGTGATTTTTTGTCTTTTGGATATACTCCTAGTAGAGGAATTGCAGGATCCAATGGCAGGTCAATTTTTAGATCCCTGAGTGTTCTCCAAACTTCTTTCCAAAAGGAACGTACTAGCTTGCATTCCCACCAGCAGTGCAAAAGTGTTTCCTTTTCTCCACATCCACGCCAACACCTGTAGTTTTGGGATTTTGTTATGTGGGCTACTCTTACTGGAGTTAGATGGTATCTCACAGTGGTTTTGGTTTGCATTTCTCTGATGATTAAAGAAGACGAGCATTTTTTCATGTGTCTGTATACCATGCACCTGTCTTCTTCGGAGAAGCTTCTGTTCAGGTCTCTTGCCCATAGTGAAATGGGATCACTTGTTCTTTTCTTATTAATAAGTTTGAGTTCTCTGTGGATTCTGGTTATCAAACCTTTGTCAGAAACGTAACCTGCAAATATTCTCTCCCATTCTGAGGGTGGTCTACTTGCTTTACTTACTGTGTTCTTGGCAGTGCAGAAGCTTTTTAGTTTGATCAAATCCCAGTAATGTATTTTTGGTGTTGCTTTAATTGCCCTGGGGGTCTTCCTCATAAAGTTTTCTCTCAGACCAATTTCTTCAAGTGTTTCTCCTGCACTCTTTCTAAGAATCTTTATGATTTCATGTCTTAGGTTCAAGTCTTTTATCCAGTGAGAGTCAGTTTTTGTTAGAGGTGAAAGGTGTGGGTCCAGTTTCAGTCTTCTATAAGTTGCCAGCCAATTCACCTGGCACCGTTTGTTAAATAGGGAGTCTTTACCCCACGTCCTTTCTATTTTTTACCTGGTACTTTATAAGGAGTTTCTCCGTCCTACCAGTTAACACTGGCACTATTATTGTTTCCTTTCTTTTCAGACCTTACATTCAATCCATTGGCAAATCTTGTCAGTATCATTTAAAGAATAAATCCAGAAACTCATGCCTTCCTCTGCCTGCCCCTGGGTTGCATCTACCACCAACGTTCACCTGGGCAAGTGCAGTTGACTTCCTCTGGTCACTTTGCTTCTGCCCTCCTGCAGTTCATCTTCTGACCAGCAAAGAGAAGGATCGTGTTAAGACCTAAACCATGCCAGACCCTTCCTCTGCTCAAAACCCTCTCTCTCTCTGACAACAGCTCAAGTTCCACTATTCACAACAGCCGAGATGTGGAATCGACCTACGTATCCATCAGCAGATGGGTGGATAAACACAGTGCAATCGGCAGGCACAATGGAATGTTACTTGGGCATAAAAAAGAATGAAAAATTGTCATTTGCAACAACATGGCAGGAACTAGAGGATGATATATAAAGTGAAATAGACCAGGCACAATGTTTGAAAGACAAACATTGCCTATTCTCACTCCCAGTAGGAGCAAAAAAATGTTTATATCGGGGGGAGAGCAGAGCAGTAGAATGATGGTTGTCAGAGGCTGGCGAGGGTGTGTGGAGGGATGAAGAAAGGCTAATTAAGGGTGACAAATATACAGTCAGCTGCAAGGAATAAGTTCTAAAATTTCATGGCACAGTAGGGTGACGACTGTTCACAACACATCATATATTTCAAATCTGCTAGAAAAGAGGACGTGTAATGTTCACAACCCAGAAATGATAAGTGCTTGAGGTCAGCACCACGGAAGTCAGGGGGATGGTCGGAGGGGGGTGGGGACATGGTTTGGGGATGATTAAAGCCCATTACATTTATTGTGTGCTTTATTTCTATTATTATTACGTTATAATTTATAATGAAATAATTACATGAGTCACCATAAAGTAGAAGCAGTGGGAGCCCTGAGCTTGTTTTCCTGCAACTATACAGTCCCATCTTGGGATGTTAGGAGACAGTGACACCCAAAGTGTGTGGCTTGTGTCCTCAGCTCCACTGAGATCTTCAGGCACTAGGTCTCATTTGGAGACCTCTCCCATGCACAGCTTATGCTCCTGTGAGAACTGTTGCCCCCATTGATGTGATGGGGGTGGAGTTCAGGTGGAGCTCAGGCAGGGCTGCGAGCACTGGGGAGCAGCTGTAGATACAGATGAAACTTCAAAACTTTGCTTGCTAGCTGGCTTAGGTCACCTCCTGCTGTGTGGCCTGGTTCCTCACAGGCCACGGACACACACGGGTCCATGCCTGGGCTTTGGGGACTGCAGATGGAGGTAATGAGTAACTGAAATTCCCTCACTTGATTATTACAATTTTTTTTTTTATTTTTGGGGATTCATTGATGGTACAAAGTTCCAGGTTACACTAATTGCATTTGTTAAGCAAAGTCCCTCTTATAAATGTGTTTCAAATTGTTGCATCAAGATAGCACATGTATCCCATAAATATGTACAAATATGGGGTATAACATCAATAAGAGAGAGCTTGAGTCTTACTGTGGTCTAGCAGACCCTCTATGATTCACCTCCCTTACATCTCCTCCCCCTCCCTCACACTCTCTGGTCCAATACATGAATCTCTTTGTTAGGGCCTTTGTGCTGGCTGTTCTCTCTGCTTTAGATTACCTCTTTGCTTACTACTCCACTCCCTTCAGTCTTGACTCACAAATTACCTTCTGCCTGATGCCCTTGCTGGCTGTGCTGTTTGAATCTGTACCTTTCCCCACTTTCCCGCTCCCCCCATTCCCTACCCCCTTTAACTTTTTTCTCTACCTTTGGGTGTAACCTGACACACTAATAAAATTTATTAACTTCTTCATTGTCTCACCCATACCAACCCTCCATTCCTTGTCCACTTAGAGCAAAACTCCAGAAGAGGAGAGATTTTCTTTCATTCCACACATTTTTATCAAGCACCTACTATCAGTTTCAGTCACTATTCTACACAGCGGCAAATAAGAAGACACAAATCACTGCTTGCTGAGAGCTAATAGACAATCAGAGTGAATGGCTTGAAACAACAAACTACAAAATTTTTTTACATAGAATCATCTTAGAAATTTCCTGGAAATGTATTCCATTTCCAGCCATAATTATTGCCTTTCCTGCAACAGTAAAGCCATATACTTTGGATATTTTTTAGGAATTAAATTTTTTATTTTTAATTTTTATGGGTATATATTAGTTGTATACATTTATGGGGCTGCATAGGATATTTTGATGTAAGTATACAATGTGTAATGATCAAATCAGCATAGTTAGGTTATTCATCACCACAAGCATCTATCATTTCCTTGTATAGATACAAGAGCTTTCTAATTTTACTCTTTTAGTTATCTTAAAATATACAATAAATTATGGTTAACTATAGTTGCTTTACTGTGCTACTGAACATTAGATCTTATTTCTCCTGTGTAACTGTACTTTTGTATCCATTGATCATTCCCTATTGAGTACTCTCTTTCCCAGCTCCCGGTAACCATCGTTTTACTTGCTATCACTATGAGATCACTTAAAAAAAAAAAAAAGAGAGAGACAAGGTCCCACTCTGTTGCCCAGGCTGGAGTGTAGTGGTGTGATCACAGTTCACTGAAACCTACAATTTCTGGACTCAAGTGATATCGCTGCCTCAGCATCCTGAGTACCTGGAACTATAGATGTGTACTACAATGCCCAGCTAGTTTTTAAACTATTCGTAGAGATGGGGTCTCCCTCTGTTGCCCAGGTTGGTCTCAAAATTCCTGGCCTCAAGTAATCCTCCCACCTTGGCCTCCCAATGTGCTGGGATGATAGGTGTGAACCATTGCGTTCAGCCCAGAGTTCAATTTATTTTCCTCCCACACATGAATGGGAACATGTGCTGTTTGTGTTTCTGTGCCTGGCTTTTTTTGACTAATATAATGTACTCCAGTTCCATCCATGATGTTGCAAATGACAGAATCTTGTTCTTTCCAATGGCCAACTGGTACTCTGCTGTGTATATGTACATTTTCTTTATTCGCTCATCCATGGATGAGCACTCAGGTTGATTCTCTATCTTGCATGGCACTTTGGATTTTGAAAGGCTAGCTGTGTGTCCTTGGGAAAGTCGCTTAACCTTTTTGAGCCTCAGCTCTTCACATCTGGATCTCTTCACCTGAGATCTGGAGGGACCAGGCATCCAAACCACATCACTTAGCTTCTTGGTACTATGGAAATCCTTGGTGTCCCTTCACTTGTGGGCACATCACCCCAATTCTGCCTCTGTCACTGCCTGGTGCTCCCCTGGTGGCCATCTCTTTGTCTCCTCTTCATAGAAGGACACCAGTTATACTAGATGTGCTACTTCATCTTAACTTATACCTTAATTACATCTGAAAGACCCTACTTGCAAGTTAGATTCCATTCACAGGTAGCAGGTCTAGGACTTTAACATATCTTTTGGTGGGGACATAATTCAACCCATAGCCGTTTTTTAGGCTGGGTTCTATTGCAGCATCACTCTGATTCCCTAATCTTGTCCCAATTCTCCCTTCTATGCTGCCTAGATGTGAATGAGTGTGCTGACACCACTGCATGCCCAGCTTACGCCACCTGCAACAACACCATGGAGAGTTACTATTGCACTTGCAAAAACGGCTTCCTGTCCAGCAATGGACAGAGTCATTTCAAAGGTCCAGGAATAAAATGCACAGGTGAGTTCACATCCCCCTCAAAATTCTGCAGTGTTTCATAGGAAAATCAGGTGGAAGCTGAAGACATAGCTGCTTCCCCCTGCCCCAAACATGATTCCTGTCCCCTTCCCTTCCCTCCCTCCCTTCTCTTCTTCCTTTTTTTATCCTTTCCCTCTCCTTTTCTCTCTCTTCCTCTTTTTTCCCTTTTATTTATTTTTCTGATTATGAAAATATAAAAGTTCACTGTAAAAGTCTGTGGATGTTTGGAATTCCTCACAATGTGGCAGCTGGATTCTAAGGACAAGCATATCAAGAGACATGGTGGAATCACACAATATTTTAATGGCCTAGCATAGTGTTTTTCTGGCTGAGTGTCACTTCCATCATAGTCACAGGCATGCTCAGATTCCAGAGCAGAGGGGACATACTCCCCATCACTTGATGAAAGGAGCACCAAAGTCAGTGGAATGGAGAGCATCTGGATGGAACATATTGCTTCAGCTACTTTTGGAAAATAGCAGCCTGCTGCCCAGGATGAGGTAACGTTGTAATTTCAACTCTTTCTCTATCCAGATATTGATGAGTGTTCTCAAAGTTCCCCCAAATGTGGTCCAAACTCAGTCTGCAGAAACATGCTGGGGAGATACAAATGTAGCTGTTTTCTTGGTTTCTCTTCTCCCACGGGAAATGACTGGACCCCAGAAAAGCCAGGCAGTTTTGCCTGCACAGGTAATGCTCTTGGGCTCTCCAACAGGGGCCTTGGTGGACATCTACCCCTGGGTTGAGTTGATGTGTTTCTGGACTGAGACACTGATCTCTTGTGCACCCACCCTATTCCACTGCATCTCAGACGTTGACGAGTGTCTCTCCAGCGGGGTCTGCCCTGAGCATTCTGACTGTGTCAACTCCATGGGAAGCTACAGTTGCAGCTGCCAAGTTGGATTCATCTCTAGCAATTCTACCTGTGAAGGTATAAATGACCAACTTTTTATTATTTACCTGCCTAATTAATTATGGATCACATCATTAGAAGACCATATGAAGAAAATATTTTCTCATTTTATTTTATTGTTTTTTGAGACAGGATCTCACTCTATTGCCTGAGTTAAAGTGCTAGAGTTAAGCACCATCTAGGAACCTAGAGTTAGGTGCCATCATAGCTTACAGCAACCTCAAATGCCTGGGTTAAGTGATATGCCAGCCTTAGCCTCCCAAGCAGCTGGGATCCCACCATGCCCAGCAAGTTTAAAATTTTTTTGTTTTGAGATGGGATATTGCTATGTTGCCCAGGCCTGTCTCAAACTTCTAGCCTCAAATAATCCTCTTACCATGGCCTCCCAAACTACTAGACAAGCGTGAGCCACTATGTACAGCTTAGATTTTCTTGTTTTAGGGATGAGAAAATTTGGCCTCAAAGAGGTCAAGTGATTTTCTCAAGGATATGCAACTACTATGTGGAAGAGCTGGGATTTGAATTCCTGTGAAGACAGGCTGCGTTTGCGTGTAAGAGGGAGCTCTATCATTGAGCAAATCAATGGGCTTGCTGCCTGGTGTGCATAGAAGCCAATACCATGGCACCAGAGTTAAAGAAAATGAAGAAAAGCTTTATTGCAAGTTGACTGGTGACTGGAAAGGAGACAGGAGTAATGCTGAAATCTGTCTCCTGGAGCTGGGGTGGGTCAAGTTTTATAAGCAAAATGTAATGATCTATCTCATCTTACAATGAGGTGAAACCAGGAAGCATATGATTGGATCATATTGTAGGATGAGGCCAGGGCTAGATCTTATTGGATCCTAGATCCTGCCATCTTAATTTAGTCTCTGCACCTGTGTTACCCCCACCATTGCATGCTTCGTTCAGCTGGCAGTGACCTTTAACCTGGGTGTACATGGAAACTGAAAGACAGCTCATAATTTTGTTACATAAAGGTTAAGCCACAGTGATTTTTCTCACCAGGACATAATGGCAGATGTGGCAATGTCTATTGTATGCAATCTACATTCCAAGGTGTGGATTCAAGAGGAATGGACTATGACCATTTTTGCAATCTCTGTTAATTATATTTTGAAACTATTTGCCACCCTTCTGCTTACATATCATTGTCCAGAATTTATATACTTAACTGTAAGCAGGGACAGGGAAATGTGCCTCAGAGTGTGCCCGGAGAGAAGGGGAGAACATAGATACTGGGGTGCACAGAAAGAAAGTTTCAAGAGGAAGAAAGAGACTGCCAGTCCTTTTATAGGCTGGGTCGGAAGCCCCAGAATATTGTTTCGACCACATTCTATTGGCCAAGGCTGTGTATAGATTTCAAGGGGCCAGTATAGACTTCAAGGAAAGGCAAACAAACGCTTTGTCTCACTAGAGGAGCAACATGTGCATACAGGTACTGCAAAAATTGATGGTGGCCATCTTTGGAATTCCTTCTCCACTGAAGACTATGGTTAGAATTGATGGTGGACATCTTGGGAACACCTTCTCCCCTGAAGAGGGTGTATAGAATTGATGGTGGACATCTTTGGAACACCTTCTCCCTTGCAGGGTGTGATTAGAGTCGATGATGGTCATCTTTGGAACACATTCTCCCCTGCAGAGTGTACTTAGAATCAATGGTGGCCACCTTTGGCATACCTTCCCAACTGCAGAGTGCATTTAGGATTGATGGTGACCATCATTGGAACAACTGTGGAGTGGGTTTAGGATTGGTGGTGTCCTTCTTTGAAACACCTTCTCCCCTGTAGAGTGTATTTAGAATTGATTGTAGCCATCTTTAAGGCATCTTCTCCCTGGCAGAGTGTGTTTAGAATTGATGGTGGCCATCTTTTGAACATGTTCTCCACTGCAGAGAACATTTAAAACTCATGGTGGTCATCTTTGGAACACCTTCTCCCCTGCAGAGTCTGTTTAGAATTGATGGTGGCCATCTTTGGAACCCCTTCTCCACTGTAGATTGTGTTTAGAATTGATGGTGGCGATCTTGGAACAACTTCTTCAATGTAGATTGTGTTTAGAATTGATGGTGGCCATCTTTGGAATACCTTCTCCACTGTAGAGTGCATTTAGAATCGATGGTGGACATCTTGGAACACCTTGTCCATTGCAGACTGCATGTAGATTGATAGTGGCCATATTTGGAACACTTCCCCTGAAAAGAGCATTTAGAATTGATAGTGGTCATCTTTGGAACACCTTCTCCAATGCACAGACCGTTTAGAATCGATAGTGGTCATCTTTGAAACACCTTCTCCCCTGCAGAGTATGTTTGGAATTGATGGTGGCTATCTTTGGAACACCTTCTCCTCCCTGTGGAGTGTGTTTTATATCTTTCAACCCTGAGGAAAAAGTGTATGCTTTTCTTCATTAAAAATTTTATTTTTTTATGTTATTTGTGAGTCTTTACTAGCTCCTGATACGTAGTAGCTTTAATAGAAGATGTTGTTTATTATTTGTTAATAATAAACAGTATTAATGTCAAAAGTGATTTTATAAATAGATTAATACATCTTTGTGCACTCCAGGGAACACAATCAGGATCCTATGAAGGCCAAGGCAAAGTTGTGGACTGTCCCACTCCCCTTTCTGTAAAATCAGCACCTCTTTCATTTGTTTTACATATTTAGGTTTCATTTCACATAAGGAAAAGCTTCCTGGGCCAAAACATTTTGAAAATCATGCATCTAGTCCAACTTCATGGACATTTTTAAGCCAGATTCATAAGTATATATGAAGAGTTCGTATGTCTTCCAACTGAGAAGAACTCATCTAGGTTATTCTTAAGTGTTTCTGGAAGTAGAAAGCTCTCTCCCACTAAGACTTTTTTGGGACGTCTTGCATGATGCTAATAGGAAAACCACTTCTCCTTACCTTCCAACAACAGCCCATTCTTGTGTATATGGAAGCCTTCAAATTAATCTACATTCATATCACAAAGACTTTTTATCCTGACTCTCCATGGTAACACCCAGTCCATCCATCATATACTAGCTTGGCTCACTAGTTGCCTGTTTATTCCTTGTATTTTGTGAGTTGACATAGAAACAGGAAAGGTTTTCTCTTTACTTCCTTCTTAGTTATTTCCCCCACCCCCCAAACCCATAACATCATATTCCATATATCCACTGCAATTCAGAATCCTCAGAGGTAGAGCTAAGCATCTATTGGCATAGTAACCTGGCATCTTCCTGTCATGTTAAGTTAGGGTTTCTGAACCTTAGCACTATTGATATTTTGGAGACTTGAATGCGGTGGCTCAAGCTTGTAACCCCAGCACTCTGGAAAGCTGAGGCAGGTGAATTGCTTGAGCTCAGGAGTTCAAGACCAGCCTGAGTAAGAGTGAGACCTCATCTCTAAAAATAGCTGTGCCTTGTGGCAGATGCCTGTAGGCCCAGCTACTTGGGACGCTGAGGCAAGAAGATTGCTTGAGCCCAAGAGTTTGAGGTTGCTGTAAGCTATGATGGTACAGCACTTTCCCAAGGGTAACAGAGTGAGACTCTGTCTCAAAAAAAAAAAAAAAAGAAAAGAAATGATATTTGGGGTTGTTTAATATTTTGTTTCTGCAGGGAGGGTGTTTTGCATATGGTAGGATATTTGATGGCATCTTTGGCCTTTACTCACTAGATCTTGATATTGCTCTTTCTATACTCATGTTGTTACAACAAAAAATATCTATAGATATTGCCTACAAATTGCCCCCAATTGAGTACTACTGCCTTAGCATAATAGAAATTTCTGAATCTTATAACAAATCAATATGGATATACATGACCAGTGGGCAGCCTTCCTCCACATGATGATAGAGGAAACTGGTCTTCACCTTTTGGTTCTGAAGTTCCTCATTTTAGCCAGTGAAGGGGTAAGAGAGAAGAGAGAGGGGTCATACCTACTTATTGACTAGCTCACAAGTGAAGTGTATATCATAGCTCTCCTTCTAGAGAATAGAAAACTTTCCCTGCATTCTGGGAAATGTAGTCCCTAGCAGGAATGTCATTTTCTAGTGAAGTATGACTCTGTACTTTGGAAGTATGACTTGGTTGGACTGTTGGCCACCATGTCTTGGCACTCATTCTGTACCATACAGATATTAATGAGTGCGTTGTCAAAATGTGCCCTGCCAATGCAACTTGCACCAACACTCCTGGGAGCTACTTTTGCAACTGCCGTCCTGGCTTTGCACCAAGCAGTGGACAGCTGGATTTCACAGACCAAGCAGTGGAATGTAGAGGTGAGCACAGTTTGCCAGTTGGTCCTGAGAAGACATTTCTCCTCCTTGCTCCTCTGTTTTTTTTTTAAAAAATATATTCTCCATTTTTTTTTTTGCAGATATTGATGAGTGCTTCCAAGATCCATCACCATGTGGTCCAAATTCTGTCTGCACCAATACCCTGGGATCCTACAGCTGTAGCTGCAGTGTGGGCTTTCATCCCAACTCAGAAGGCTTCCAGAAATATGGCAACTTCAGCTGTAAAAGTAATGATTTCCTGTATGTCTTGGTGATGGTTTCTTGGTGTCTTGCTTTGGTTGCAAAAATTCTCACTCTACCCAACCCCTGGATCCTTCTCCTATTTCCACCTCATCCATGTACTCTTTTTCCTTTATTAATTTATTAGTGATTTTGGTATATTATGTTTTGAGCACTGATTAGTTACTTAATTAAACAGGTCCCTTGCATTAGATACTGAGGAGTCTTCAGTTCTGGATATGATGGGAATGTTCTTGTCCTCATGCAGCTTGTACAGGAAGGAAACAGGGAGTGCCCACACAGTTATGAACCCAATTACGTAATAATGACCACATGAGTACACACTTGAAAATTCACAGTGTGCTTTGGAATAGCCAATGGGATATTGAATTTGCTTCACACAAAGGACATTTATGTGAAAACTTGAAGGAGAAGTAGGAATTTTCTAGATGAAGAATAGACATAATGGTGTTCCCTATTGAAGTGTGTGCAAAGGCCCTGAGGCTCATGCAGAGTGAGTACAAGATGAACTGGCATTTGATGCATTTGGTCAGGTAGATAGATTGTTGTGAATCTTGTGAAGAATTTTGGCATCATTTTCACCCCCAAGAGCCATGGGGAACCATAAAAGGTTTAAAAATTAATGTATAATGGGATAAATTAAAAATATATATTACTTATATGGAGGAAAATGAGGTATAAGAGCAAAATGGATATAACTGAGTCCCTCCCCAACATAAAGATAATATTGGCCAGGCGCGGTGGCTCACACGTGCAATCCCAGTACTCTGGAAGGCGGAGGCAGGTGGATTGCTTGAGGTCAGAAGTTCAAGACTAGCATGAGCAAGAGCAAGACCCTGTCTGTAGACATAGCTGGGCATTGTGGCAGGCGCCTATAGTCCCAGCTACTCGGGAGGCTGAGCCTAGAGAATCATTTGTGCTCAAGAGTTTGAGGTTGCTGTGAGCTACAAGGCCATGGAATTCTACTGAGTGTGACAAAGTAAGACTCTGTCAAAAAAAAAAAAAAAAAAAAGAAAGAAAGAAAGAAAGAAAGAAAGAAAAAAGAAAATATTACCAGTGCTGTGTGTCCTCTGCATGTTCCTTCCTTCCTCACTCTGCCTCCTCCTCAGTGCTAAACCATATCTGCTTGGTCTTGCTTGCTTTGGAGCTTTGCAACAGTGATGTCAGACCATGCAGTCTTCTCTGCCTCAGTACCACACTCCATGGAATACTTCACACTGTGGTGTGCAGTTGTTGTTAGTTCATTTCACCATGTGTATTATGACAACAGATGGTTTTTAAACCTTGGAGGGGAGAATGAAACCTGACTTGCTTTTCTCTTTATGCTATCTTGCTCATTGAAGTTGGTTTGATTTCTTTGCTTTAATTTCTTCCTAGGAATTCCCTTCAAGTGTAAGGAAGATGTGATATCCAGTCATGAACAGATCCAGCAGTGCCCAGAGGGGGCAGCAGTAAAGTCTGAGTATGTAAGTCTTTCTGAAGGTTCGTGCTTCTTGAGGTTTTCCTAGGCACCCCTTAGCTGGATATTGTTTCTGAAGTTTTAACAAAGGCAAAAGTAATAGTGGCCTAAACCAGACAGTATTTTTTTCTGTGTTCTGTAAGAGTCTGAGTGTAAGCTGTGCAGAGCTGATAACGACAGCTCCATAATCCCCTGCCATCAACATAAGACTCCTGTATTGTGGTCCAAGACAGCTGCTCCAGCTCCCACCATCACATGTGCATTCCAGATGGTGGGAAATGGAGAAGGGGAAGTGAAAGGCACAGTTCTTTTCTTTAAGTGCATGACCCATCCTCACTTCTGTTTGCACCTGATTGGCCAGAAATTAGTCACATGGTCCCTCATAGCTGCAAGGATATTGGTCTATTTAAAACTGGAGGAAGCAGAAGAGAATATATTAGAGTCTCCCCCACAGTGAGATATTGTATTGCTGCATCTAAGTGATATGGGACAGGTGATACATAGCCAGCCAGGCAAAGAGGAATTTGGACCTCCTATCTAATGAAGCCATTGCACTGAGTAAACTATATAGTCTCTTAAGGAATTGATGCTTCTATTCTAAATATGAGCTTGTAAATGATCTTTGGAAATTACTACACACCTTGGACCACTGTTTTCCTTTTTAATTTGCAAAATATATATCACAAAATCCACCTTCTTAAACATTTTAAAGTGCACAATTCACAATGTCATGCAACTATTGCTGCTGCTCATGTATCTGGTTCCAGATCTTTTTACCACCCCCAAAGGGACTCATGCCAATTATGTTCTCCTTCCCCATTTTTCCATTTTCCCAGCCCATGATAAGCACTAACCAGTTTTCTATCCTTATGGAATCATCAAATCCTTATGGATCCATTCACATGGGATCGTACAGTATCTGTTCATGTGTGTCTGCCTCCTTTCACCGAGCATGGTGTTTGCCAGGTCTGCTCACACTACAGTGGGTGTCAGAACTCCTTCCTTCTCAGGGCTGAGTAATGTTCCATTTGAACCACTGTTTGCTTACTCACTTCCCCATCTTTTTGTCCCACTAAATAGTTTTGCTGTTTATGTTTGCTGTTTTTATTCATGGAAGAGAAAGGTGGTGTTATTCTAATTTTGATCAAATGATAGTTTTATTTCTCTGAGAATTAGCTCCTTGGGAATGCAGGACTATGGTGGGCTTTGTAAATTGTAAATTTGTAAATTGCATGCGTGGAGGAATAGATCCATCCGTGTTCATAAAAACTCTTCTTTCTGGGGCACAGGGTTCCTTCTGTGGACTGATAAACGACACCTTCCACATTCTGGACAATGTGTGTGAAAACAAAACTGCCGTGGTTCCTCTGAAGGTAATGACAACATCTTCATAATTGTGTGTTGAGTTCCAGACATCTTGTGTACATTTTGGGTGAAGAAAGTCCTCTTTATAAAAATGAATGGGTTGTGAGTTAACATTTAACTTATTTTAGTTGTGAGGTTTTAAAAATTAACATTCAGCAAAATTACCTTTATTTTGATGTATAGGTTTGTGAATTTTATCACCTGTGTAGATTTGTGGATCTACCACCACTATCCGAATACAGAACAGTTTCTCAATTTAGTTTCTCCCCCAAATTCCCTTGGGTCTTCTCCTTATATTCAGATTCTCCCTGCACCCCTACCCTTCATAAATCTCTGTCCCTGCAGTTTTGCCTTTTCAAGAACATTTTATAAATGGAATCATGTAGTATCTGGCCTTTTGAGACTGGCTTCTTTCACCCAGCATAGTATCCTTGAGACTCACTGATGTCTTTATCCATAGTTCCATTCCTTTTCCTCCTCCTTCCCTTTTAAAAACTTTTACCTTTGGTGACATTTAGTAGAGTCACAGTTTTGTGCAACCGTCACCACCCTCCATCTTCAGAACTTTCTCATCTTCCTAAAACTGGTGTCCCTATGAGACACCAACTCTCTACCCCTCCCCAGCCCTTGCACCCACCTCCTACTACCTCTTCCTGTGGATCAGACCACTCTGTGGACCTCTGATGAATGGGTCACACAGGATATGTCCTTCTGTGCCTGGTCCATCTCACCGAGGCCACACAGGATGTGTCCTGCCTGGTCAGTCTCATCAAGGCCACACAGAATGTGTCCTTCTCTGCCTGGTCAGTTTCATGTGTCCTTCTGTGCCTGGCCCATCTCACTGAGGCCACACAGGATGTGTCCTGCCTGTTCAGTCTCATCAAGGCTACACAGGATGTCTCCTTCTGTGCCTGGTCAGTCTCACACAGGCCACACAGGATGTGACTTTCTGTGCCTGACACTGAGGAATGTCCCAAGGATTCGCATTTGTGGAAGCCTGGATCAATGCCCTATTCCTTTGTCATGTTGAGTGACACCCCAGGTTATGAGTGAGCCACAGTTGATTTATCCATGCATTATTGAAGGGCATTTTGGTTGTTTCCAGCTTTGGTGATCACTGGCAGAGCTACTATGAACTTTCATGTGCAGTTTGTTTTGGGTGTGTGAATAGGAATTTTCATTTCTCCAAAGTAAATACTGAGGAGTTACAAGGTCATTATCATTGTCAATATTAAAATCTAGTTTTTCTTAAGTTTTATGTTGGACTTAGGGATGTCATTATTTTATTTATTAATGTGGTTATTTTTGTAAGAAAATAAGAATAATAGGTTTACTTGTAATTTTATTAATTTAAAATTAATTAACTTATCTGTTCATTAAATGCAAATTTATTCATTGAGTTTTCAGATTACATTTTTTTTTATTGAATGGTAACTATGTACATTAATGCACTTCTGGGGTACAGTGTGGGGTTTTCACATGCAATCCGAACTACTTCCATCAAACTGGTCAACACAGCCTTCATGTCATTTTCGCAGTTATTGTTTTAAAACGTTCACATTCTACTCTTAGAAAGATTCACTTGTACCCCTATAAGATAAACCCCAGAAGTGGTCCCTCCAAACCCCCTCCCTCCACCCATTTCCCCCTCCCTTCTCCCTCCCCATATTCTTAGACTATTTGGGTATAACTTTCATATAAAAGGTATAAGTTAGTTTCATAATAGGGGTGTGTACATTGGATACTTTTTCCTCCATTCTTGTGATACTTTG